TATTCACTATTTCAGGACATAGAGGCTATATATTTTATGGTTTATACCTTTTTTTTTTTTTTATATTAAGCTTCTTCACTATTTTTTTCAACAAAGTCATTGCAATGCATTTGAGCTGTAACCATTTTGATTCTGATATTGATGAAAAATAGTATAATGGGGGACCTTTAAGATTGTTGATAAGCTTTGGGTATTGCAATTTCACACGTGTACAACAAGTAGCTTAATTGAACTGAGTGCTATGTGTATAAACGTAAGTGACGTGATGCAAGTCTCTTAGATCAAGGAAGGTTGGATGCCCCTGGTTTAAACACTGCTTCTTTACAGTTATTTAAAAATAAATTAAACGTTTTTTTAAATGTAAGATCATTTTTACATAAAAGGCAAGCAAACACACTAGATACAGTGTAACTTGGCACAATGTTATGTCTTAAAAAAAAATCTGATTCACAATACACCTGATATAAAATCCCTTACAAAACGCAACTTATTTTGCTACAGTATTAAAGCTGTTCAGTTGCCTCAGCTAAATACAACAGTCTGCACTAAAACCCTCTGTATTAACGTTTTTAATTCTCGAGTGAGTTGTTAATAGCTTTAGCTGTGCTCTACAACAGTCAGCTAATTACACTGTTCATCGTTCAATGCTAATGTTGTTAACTGGGCTTATTCACTTTAGCCAACTGGATTAGCCTAGCACTGGCACAGCATTTATTGAATCATCTCTTTACCACAATTCACCAATTTGGGAGTTCTCTTGTGTCAGTCTACAACCTTACAACAAAGTGCACAGTGTTACCGTTTTGATGTGAAAACATTAAATTGAATTCTTACGGTTTTATCTGAGTTATATTTTTGCCTTCAGAAGCAGCGGCTTGTACTAGGAAGCAGGATTTGCGGTTAGCGAGGTAACTTCAGGGTTAACTCAGAGTTTTCTGTCCTACGACGCTGGTTCACTTCTTACCAGGGTAGATCTCCATAGATTATGTTCCAGATAAGAGGTCAACTCAGTAGAGATGGGCGAGTCCTGATTCATCCAGATCATTAACCCGGATCCTAGAAATGAGCTGGTCATGACGAGTCTCCCCTCTCCATTAACCCGAGTCCTTGAGTCCCACACTTGGTGTGACGTACAAATTAAAACTATAAATTGCGTCACTCGCTACTCTCTTTATAACATGTAAAATCACATTACAACGTACCCCAAGTCCATCTACCTACCCTTTAGCAAGTATACAGTCACAGGATAGCTGCCAGAAGTGATCGTTTGGCTCAGGGGAGGGGACGCGGATCAGTGAAACTTCCTGCAGACTCGTGGGGACTCAGAGGAGCCGACGGCTCCAACAGCAGACTCGCAGATTCGCAGATTCGCAGATTCGCAAATCCTGACTCGCTGCAACACACAGCGGATCAGACTCGTGCGGACTCGGAGCCGTAACCGTATAGCAGCAGATCCAGAGATCCAGCAGACTCGTCGTCATGCACGAGTCCACAGCAGACTCGGATTCGCAGATTCGCAAATCCTGACTCGCTGCAACACACAGCGGATCAGACTCGTGCGGACTCGGAGCCGTAACCGTATAGCAGCAGATCCAGAGATCCAGCAGACTCGTCCGTCATGCACGAGTCCACAGCAGACTCGGATTCGCAAATCCTGACTCACTGTGTGTGCAACACACAGCAGAGCAGACTCGTGCGGACTCGGAGCCGTATATAGCAGCAGATCCAGAGATCCAGCAGACTCGTCCTCATGCACGAGTCAACAGCAGACTCAGATTTGCCAAATCGCAAAATAACCCTTTTTTTTGTGATCAACATTTTTTATTAAAGCAAAATACACTGTGTAGCGGAGGTTAATATAACGTCAGTTTAATAGATAGATAGATAGTACTTTATTGATCCCAAATTGGGAAATTGTTGTTGTTACAGCAGCATAAGGCATTTTACAATAAAACAAAACTACAAAATATACAAGAATAGAAATAAAAATAAAATAAAATATAAAATATAAAATATACATGTCGAAATAGAAAATATACATGCAGATATTATATATATATATTAGGGCTGTCAGTCGATTAAAATATTTAATCGCGATTAATCGCATGATTGTCCATAGTTAATCGCGATTAATCGCAAATTAATCGCACATTTTTTATCTGTTCTAAATGTACCTTAGAGGGATATCTTTCAAGTTTTTAATACTCTTATCAACATATGAGTGGACAAATATGCTTTATATGTTTGTTTATTATCATTTGAACAATGACAAATATTCTCATGAATATTAAACACAACAACCTGAACATTACAAATATTCGCCTCAATTCAACCTAGAACCTCTCTCATACAATAATACTGTGTGTGTGTGTGTGTGTGTGTGTGTGTGTGTGTGTGTGTGTGTGTGTGTGTGTGTGTGTGTGTGTGTGTGTGTGTGTGTGTGTGTGTGTGTGTGTGTGTGTGTGTGTGTGTGTGTGGAGACACTGTGATGAATCGTTGGAGCTATGTGCCGCTCAAGGCATATATGCTCCAACGGGAGCTGCCTGGACGCTGCAATCATGTTGCGCGTACGATCCGTGCTGAGTGTGCTGACTTTTCGTACAATGTCCCACTGTCTGGCTACCTGCATAAAGTCAAGTGCTCGGCGCAGTTGTCGGCGAAATGTCATTGAAACAGCTCCTTAAATCCGTTAGCGCAGCTAGCTAGCACCAGATGCTAACAACAACAACACGTAAAGGCCCCTACACACCAGGCCGATATCGGCCGTCTTGCGTTGTTGGGCGAAAACGGGTTCCTTGTCGCCCAAATTCAATTTGGTGTGTCCCGAACCCTCGGCCGTGACACGCCTTATTTGGCCTTTCACGGTCGACACCCGGCCGATTCAACATGTTGAATCGGCCGGGTGTTGGACACAAGCTATCGGGCCAAGAAACCACTCTGATCAGCTGTTCAGCTTGCAAATGAGAAGCGAAACGGAAGTGAGGGACGTAAACAAACGATTTAAGGCACAAGACAGCAGCTAAACACCAGCAGGTGATACTTAAAGACATCAAACATAGCCCTTAAATGTCCTCTCTTACCTCCCACACATAGCAGGGACATCTCTGATATCGGCGGGAGCGTCCCCGGCTGTCCTCTGCTGAGAGCTCCGTGATTTGTTTGGTCAAGTCCGGTTTTTCATCTCATCGTAAATTTAGCAAGAAGTGGCCATTACTACATTGCTGACTCAATAAACTACACACCCGCCAGAACACTGCGATCATCAGATGCAGGTCTATTAACTCTGACTTTATAGTATGTCTGCACTTTATGTGCTCATTTCATCATGCATGTATTTTTATATTCTAAAACATGTTTTCGTTGGACGAGAGTGAAAATGGAACGGCACCCGCCGCTATTTGTTTGTTTATATCAGTCTGTTCTTCTTCTCTGTCTTCCGGTTGTTGCCTATTTTGAATGACGAATACACACTACCGCCGGCTGCTGGTAAGGAGAGTTATTGCCACTCACGCATGCGCAGTTCGTACGTGCTCGGCTGTAGTAAAGCGGTGTATTTCAGTGTACACACGGCCAAGACGCAGGAGAACTCGTCGATGGATCTGTCGGTGTCGGATGTCGGCGAGTTCTCTGGTGACTGCCTGGTGTGTAGGGGGCTTAAGGTGTGCCTCGCTCGCGCGAGTCGCGCCACACATACACACTCCCTCCCGGTCCTCCCGATGGCCAGTCCGGGCCTGCCGGTGAGCGTGGAAGTGTGGTCTGCCACAAGCGGGCGGCAGGAGCGAGGCTGTCAGCATCAGCTTGTAGATGGTATTTTACACTCGATGCGCTCTGAAACTACGGCGGCCGAGGACAAAAAATACACATGCGTTAATCGCGTTAAAATAATTAGTGGCGTTAATTTTTTTTTGCGTTAACGCGTTATTAACGCGTTAACTTGACAGCCCTAATATATATATATACAAATATATATATATATATATATTCAAAATATATGGAATAATAATATGCTCGTGAAATGCAACAACTTTTCGGTTTCACCAATAGGATTTCTACGGTCTTGGTCATGCTGACTCATATGACTCAAATGACTCGTATGATCCGGATCTCTTCAATGACTGACTCAGAAGACCCTGAGTCCGTAAAATGATCCGGATTTGCCATCTCTACAACTCAGTTAAAGCACCGCCTGCTGACCAATCAGAGCCCACCGCCTGCTGACCAATCAGAGCTCATTGTGCTGAGTTTAAAGCTATCAAGTCATATTACAGGATAAAGGAAATACAGTTAAACTGCCGTATGCAATATCTGCCACAACATAAGTAACCGGAGCAAAGTAACTCAGAGCATTGCGTACAGTCTGTGACACTGTAAGTGCAGACGCCGACGTGTCGCACTTAACATTCATAATCACATCATAATATATATATATTTCTGCGGAGCCGTTACGTTACATCACTATACCCGAAATACGTCACTATACCCAAGAAGTAAACAATGGAAAAAGAGAAATCTCCAACGAGGCGTTCTGGGGCAGCATAGACAGGTCTTTTCTGTGTTAGAGTTTTACTCGCTACAGGGTGTACTTTGAGGGTTTGTGACTCTGCAGACCGTTTACATGCAGAAAAAGCTACATAACACACAAGGGGACGGGTAATAACCAGAAAAGCATGACATGGGACTTTTAAGTAAAAGCGAATTGCCTCCCTACTGTATATCTTTAACCCATTTCTTGTTTCTTGAAAATTCCACAGGGCACCTTCACATCAGCTATGTTTTAGTCATAATAGTAATTTGTCATGGCTGCCACACAGGTGTAATTGTCATTTGCAGATGAATTTGTGCCAGAGCTCCACCACTATGTCCTTCACATCAGCCTGTCTTATCGCACTGATAACTCTCTGCCAGTGAACAAACAGCTGCTCAAAGTCCAACTCCAAAATCAGGATTTCAACTGTTTTGTTGAAGTTGGACAAAATTCAAGCCAAACAAGGAATAATTGTGAAATAAAGCAGCAACAGCGTTCCAGACTCTTGACTGTAACAGACATTAGCAGCAGCTGGCGAGTCAAACATGAGAAGTCTAGTGTTTCTGCTCCTGGTGGCTTTGGCCAGCGCTAAGGTCTACGAGCGCTGTGAATGGGCCCGAGTGCTAAAGGATCATGAGATGGACGGCTACTATAACAACAGTCTGGCTGACTGTGAGTATAAGCTTTAGTATAATAAGAACTGTGAGTCTGCATGTACAGTCTCAGAAACAATACTCATTTACATGTACTGCTCAGCATTCACAAAAGACAGGAGTGGAGGAGTGCTTCAAAATCTCTTGGAAAAAATATCTTAAACCTGCCAAACATTCCATACCTTTCACTCCTGTGACTTTCTGGTAGTTCACTTCATTTGAACAACACCATTTTCAAAACACATTTTTTTAACATCTGCCTCTTGAGGGCTCTGAAACTCCAGACACCTACCCATAGACTCCAATGTTCATTTTTTGAACAGAAAGCATAAATGTCAGAGGTACTTTTCAATGGAAAGTCAATGAGACACAGTCTCCCCCCTCACTGACCACTCACCATCTCCGTGGAAACCTTTGATTTTTCCACACTGACACGGGATCAGGATTACATAATGACTGCTACAATGTTAACAGACTGGATATTAACAGACTCAACCTGTTCCATACCATCTGATTCCAACTGCATTCAGACCTAACAATCTTACACATATTGCATGTATTTTATGTTATTAGGTCATTTGGTTGCAGTTAAAATCTGCTGCTGCTTTTTTATGCATTTGTAAGCTCTTTTCTTCTTCCTACTTAGTTGAAACCCAAACCTGTTCCCTATTATCCTAATATTCCTGCTCCTTCAGCTTCTACTTACATGTTCAAGCCAGCGCTGTAGTTCAGTGTCTTTCAATGTATTTTTGTATTAAAACATTTAAAGGAAGCCATTGGTTTCTATTCATTCTGTATTCATACAGTAATAATCCTCATTAGTGGAAAAGCTGCAGTGGAATTGGCTTGCTGTTCACAAATACGTTTTGATGGCTAAGGCTGAGCTGCCTGACCAGGCTTGTCTATGGGTTCCGATGGCCCACGTTGAACTTTCAACGGGTCTTTTGTGTTTCCTCTGCAGGGGTTTGTCTGAGCAAGTGGGAGTCCAGTTGGACTACCACCAGCACCAACCATAACACCGACGGATCCACGGACTACGGCATCTTTCAGATCAACAGCCACTGGTGGTGTGAGGACGGCCTAACCCCCCACTCCAAGAACGCTTGCAACATCAATTGCAGCGGTCAGTGATGCGCACACACACACACACACACACACACACACACACACACACACACACACACACACACACACACACACACACACACACACACACACACACACACACACACACACACACACACACACACACACACACACACACACACACACACACACACACACTTTAACTACACAGCATGTTTTCTTCATTTTCTATTACTTTCCATGTTGTCATCCCAGTGTTGCCACCAGTTCCATTTTTGTCCTGATCACCACCAAGCTTTTAAACTGCAATAATCAATACAGGTTTTCAAATGTTAACACTAAATCAAATGACTGTATTTTAAAATATATGTTTTCTGTTGTCCATGTTCATAAAGCCTGCATAGCAACACCATCAGAGCACTGTGCAAAGTATCTATGTGCGCTGTAGTAGTCCTCTGTACAGAAAACGGTAGTTTCCCCACAGTAGACACACATTAAGAACATCCACTGGTGCGTCATAAATACTTCGGATAGTGTCAGTGCAGTCGGATTCTCTTGAAGCCTGGTTATCTTTTCCTCAAAGTCCTTTTGAATTCTCCTAACCACTATTCCTTAACTCCATAACCCCCGGGACGTTTCACACAGAGGACTAGTGGATAGGAAAAGACGACAGGAGCTGATATTTGGACCATTCATCTGCAACCTTGGCCTATTTCCTATGTAATGGTCACATGACACACCAAACTGATGATATAATCCTGACTCTTAAAGAGACCTCGACCAGGCACAAATGGGAAATTAAAAAAACTCCAACAAATGCAAACAAGATTTCTCAAATATTACAATTAGCTGTAACAAAACACCACTATCTGCATGAGTTTATGCAACAGCGTAATTTCCAGTGGCAATGAGAGGGATTGTTTTTCAACTTAAATATTTCTGGGCATTGTTCTCTTAATGACAAGCCACCATGACAGGAGATCTGAGTTGATAGAAATTATGATTGCTGTATTGAGATTAAAAAAGCAACAGCGAGGACCCAAGTTTTCACTCCTCAGAATACCCTGCTTACCAAATATGTTGGGGAAAGTTGTACCGGTGTGTAAACAAGCTCTCAAAAGCAAACATCATCCTTACAATCCCATTTACCATTTGTATGTTTATTTAAAGTGAATGTTCTCCTGAAAAGATAGCTAGAATGGCACAAATCAAACGTGAGAAAATACAGTTCAGTTTTTGTAGTAAAAATGGTATTAAAATGTTAATATTTTACCTAGCAGGTGTTGAGGAAACATGATTCTTTGTGGATGAAAGAATGAGAGGCACATTAAAAAGTGCTTTGGATGAAAGCGCTGTTTAAACACAGCCCCTTAACAAAGACTGTTGTACATGCATTTATATTTACTTTTTGAATGACCATTCAAATCCAGGTTGCCTTGTTTTTTCACAGATCTTCTGACCAATGATGTCGGTGTGGCGATCACTTGTGCCAAGCGCGTTGTTAGGGACCCCAATGGCATCAGAGCCTGGTAAGAATGGATTAGGTGACTGTCAGGTGTTTTCTACACAAACCGTCATTTACAGTATGAAGAGATGGGTCATATCTTTGTGTCTGTTTCAGGGTGGCCTGGCGCAGCCACTGTGAGAACCGTGACCTGAGCGAATACTTGGCAGGATGTGGGCTCTAATCCACATGTGACCAGGATGCTGTCATGGACATAATAAATGGTTTAAAAACAATTATCAACTTCAAATCAACTTCTGGTGATACAGAGACCGAGGAAATTAGAAATAACCGAAGTGAGACGCACCCTCTGTCTGTTACTTTAGATGAAAATAAGGAGCCACTCCCCTCTGAGAGATATTTGGTTAAAAAGAACACAACGGTGCTCTACAGTAGGAGGAGATTTTATACTGAGAGTATTTTCCAAATGTAATAAATACTTTGTACTCGTGACTCTCGTCATAAGGAAGAACAAACCCCCTCCCAAAATACTTCTTATTAAAAGTATTTTTAGGACAGGATTTAAATATCTCTGCTGGAATCCCTCTCTCTTAGTTTGTCCTTTATGTTGACTTGATTCTCAGTTTGCACCACAAGGGGTCGTTCAACATCACAAATGAAATGTCTCATGCACCTTAAAACTGAATATATGGTTTTAATTTGCGACTCAAAGTCAGTGAAATCTGCAAGTTCCTGTTGCAGTTTGATCAAATTTAAACTTTTAAAACATCCTCTGCAGGGATGGAAGTGAAACTAAACGTAATAATAACAACAATGCACCAGCTCAGTATGTCTAAGATATAGATTATGTATGTGTGTTAAATCTTATTCATATTATTATTGTTAAAGGCTACGATCAGCACTTCAGCTTCAATGATTTCCCACCTTTCAGAACACTATTATTAGATTGTTAATCTCAATGAGACCTATCCTGGTCAAATAAGGGTTAAATAACAATTCTTATGATGGTTTAATATCTATTTAAAAAAACAACTTATGTACCAACAAGATTTATTTCATTGTTCTTATTTTTGTCAATTATCATAATCTGAATAGTGATGATTGTTGTTACGGCCTAGAGATATTGGACCCCAATGCAAAAGACTTGGAGAGAGAGAGATGGTCAAAAGCAAACATGTTATTTTAAGCAGAGGCACAGTAAACGGCAGTGGAGGCAGGAAGCTGGCTGGCACGGAGACGTCAGGGACAGGAGGCAAACATCCAGGCGAAGAGATCACAGGGACGAGGAGAGCAGCGAGACACACCGGAGGGTCGAACACAAAGGAATGATCTGGCAGGGAAGTGGCAAGAGGACCGGGCTCTTATGTCAACAGGTGAAGAGGTGAGTGGAAACAGGTGTGCCTCGTCTGCTGCTGGGAGGAGCCAGCCAACTCCCTGTCACACACCAGCCCTGCGGGGGGAGACAGAGAAGGGAGGGGGGAGACAGAGAAGGGAGGGGGGAGACAGAGAAGGGAGGGGGGAGACAGAAGAAAACACACAAAAAGCACACAACAAAACCAAACAGAATCATCACAGATTTGAACTGAAAACAAGCATTTTCTTGTGCATCTTATTGCAGTTTTTATCATCAAGTCTTTAGGCTCATCTCAGAAGTTCAATACAAAATCCCGTTAAGGAAATGTGGAATTAAGCTGGGAGCATTAATTTATCTCAGCTTGCTCCTAATGACTTACTTAGATGAGCTCTCGAGTTTGGTTTATTCATTTGTTGAATGTTTACCTTATCGTGAACCCTTAAGGCAGGGGTGTCAAACTCAAGGCCCGGGGGCCAAATCCGGCCCGCCACTTCATTGTATGTGGCCCACAAGAGCTTGCAAAGAATATAATAAGTTTATTATAATGTTACGTGCCGCTTTACAGGAGAACGTTGCCCATAAACTACATGTCCCACAATGCATCTCATTGTGTGACATGCAATGAAGAGACTTGCAATTCTTTTCCATAGACTTCTGCTTTCAGACGTAGTTAATTATGAAGTTATTACCGTATCCGATAATAATCCAATGCAGAGGAAATATTGTAAAATAATACATTATTTTATATTTATTATGTATATTTATCTATGTATATTTATCTATGTATATTTATCTATCTATATATCTTAAAGTTACCACCGGCCCTTTGAGTGCAACCATAATTCTAATGTGGCCCGCGATGAAATTGAGTTTGACACCCCTGCCTTAAGGTGACGGTCTTTAAAGAACTGCTACTTTTGCTTGTTCTACTTTATTAAAAAATACAGAGAAAGTGGGAAATAGTTTTGGAAGACGTGTGCAGAACCTCTCCTGTGTCTGTTGTGGTCTCTCACTGTTTCCTGTTTGTGTGACCTGAATAAGCACAAACATGTTTTTAAAGGAAACAAATTAAGAACATTTACACTTCTTAGAATTTAAATATCATATTAATATTTATGTGTATTTTTATTTGTAATCTATTAATCTCTATATATTTATTCGTTTCTTTTTATTCATATTACTGTTCAAGTTTTCTTCACATATTATTCATTATTACTTTTAAAATGGTACCTCTGCATGGAGAAACATATTAACCTGTAATAATAATAATAATAGATTTATTTTGTTAGCGCTTTTACAGGTGCTCAAAGACGCTTTACAGATATAGTGAAAAGAAAAGAAAAGAACAACAAATATATATAGTTAAAGTCAAATTACAATCAAGCAATACAAAAACAATCACACATTAAAAGCCAGATTGAAGAGGTGAGTTTTTTGAAGGTGGTGAGGTCAGTGCCGTCTCTGATGGGTTGTGGGAGTGAGGTCCAGAGGGAGGGGGCAGCGACGGAGAAGGCTCTGTCCCCTATGAACTGTACATGTCTGATATGACTGAACAAATATATGATATTATTATTAAAGCATTACTGTAAAAGCAGGAATTTACTATTATTAGGAAGTAATTAATATTTTCCTTATGGATTCATTGTTTTGTTTGTTCACATTTCCCGGGCCCAAAGTGACACATTCACCATTTCTGTTTTGTCCAAATCTAAAAATGATTAAAAAAGGTACGAGATACAAATCGTTTGTGAAGTTGGAACCATGAACGGTTTTATTGTATGTTATGTTAAAACCATGAGTGCACTCAAAAGTACAATATCTGCATAAAATGTAAAAGTAGAAGTAGTAGTAATACTGTATATGTAAAGTACCTCAAATGTAAAAACTACAGTACTTGAGTTAGTGTACTTATACATCCGATGGGAGATAACAATGAAACACGTCTTATTTCCCATCTCTTATCTACTGCAACGTTCAAACATTATCATCAACACATTGTGTGTGCAGCAGAGGACACGAACAGCTGTTTTCTAAAGCAGCCTGATGGAGCTGTGTGTGATCAGTTACACAGGATGTGCAGCTGTGTGTTCCTGCAGACGGAGGTTTCAGATCTGCTGCTCTGTGACCACTTCCTGTCTCTGCTCTCTGCACAACAACACCTCCACCTGCTGCACCACACACACACACACACACACACACACACACACACACACACACACACACACACACACACACACACTTCCTGCACACACACACTTCCTGTCATACTGACACTGTTTGAACTGAGGGACAACGTCTTTGTTCATCGAGAGAATGTAAACCGCCACGAGCTTGTCTCTTGTACAAAGTAAAAACAAAACATATGATCAGGATTGTCTTCACACTAATATCACGATGAAACTTCCTCAGTCCATAACTGACATTAACAAAGTTGTAAATAAATATCCCCAGTTTGCTGAAATGTTATGTTGAAATATGCAAATGAGACATTGATGCTAACTGTTGGTGAACTTAGGACGAATCTACAGAATCATAGAGACAACGTTTGTAAGAAAATGTGTGTTTTTAACTCTTTCTTTCCCCTATCTAAAAAAAGATGTTGAAGCAAAATCTTAAAAAATATAAAATCTTAAAATATAAAAGTTAGTTAATCAAGAGATTTTAAAACGTCATAAACGTCTCTCGCTTGTGCAAAGGGGAAAACATAGATATGACTTCAATTAAAAGACTTAAAAAAGTGAAATGATTTGATCAGAAAGATGTTACCATGCAGATTATGACCTCAGGCACCTCTCAGGTCGATCAATGGAAACACGTCAGACACAAAAGACATGTTTCCACCGGATGACACACGAGTGGCTTCTCAGAAAAGAGGCGAGCAGCTAAAAATACTTCACCCTGTCTGTGGAAAAAGTGATGTGTGAGATGTGAGGAGAGATGTGTGCACCATTTGGAGCAACTGACTTTAGATAAGACCTTAATCCATTCACGTTTAACACTTGAGTCTAAAGTTAGTGCATAAACTCTTGTGCTTCAGAAACATACTGTATGTAAACCTGATCATCATTTTAAGAACAGATCGTCGACGACATTAAAGGACCAATAAACAATATAGTTGACATACTTTTATTTGAAAGGAATTAAGCATCAAGTACATAACAACCAGAGACATAAAAGGTTTTCCTATTGCCATGCTAGCTTTAATATCGTCATAAGAATAATGTTGGTCTAATGGAAGCAGAATTTAATTTGCTTGGTTATATATAAAAATGCAAATATGCTGTGACATACAGAGCTTTGTGAATATAACCACATTAGGCTCCACAGATCCTTTTTACAGACGCAGACACGGAGCGGTCGGATCAGTGGCTCTGCTTTCCGGCTGAACTCTGCAACAGACAGAAAGGACACGTCGTCAGAACAGTGTTTTATTACTCGTTCATCCCCAAATGGAGATGTATGAAACCTGTTGATTTGTAAACAGCACCAGTATAATAGTGATGAGTTAGATCACATGTGTCAAACTCAAGGCCCGGGGGCCAAATCAGGCCCTTGGTGGATTAAATTCGGCCCGCAGGATAATTTCTAATTACTATTCGATCTGGCCCGCCGGTATATTGCACGCACACCTTCACTCAATCCTGAGGGTCTCCTCAGCTCAGAGCCTGACCCCAAACATTGATGAACTTGCACCCAAGATGAGATGCCAAGTATCTGAACTAGCATCACAGAGCAGCACACTGAGTTTCAATGGATGTTTCCTTCTGCACTTTTTTTCTCACGACAACAGGGCATGTTTGGTTTTTCTTTGAGGGAAATAGTTTTTTTGAAGCTGTTAAAAATGTAATCATAAGAAATGAATGCAGCTGATTATTTAATGTTGTTTTTATAGGCAATAATTTAAGCTTTGTTAGTTCTAGGTTTAATATGTGCAATAAGTTCATTTCAATAAGTTCAGCAAGAAACATTGAACCAGTCCGGCCCTCGACTAGTACCGATTTTTTAACACTGTGTATTTGAGTTTGACACCCCTGAGTTAGAGCTCACCTGCAGCCTCCACAGCAGGAAGGCCACGCCGGCGCCGTAGATGCTGCTCTTCACGATGAACACAACGTACGACAGTTTGGCCGCCTGGGTCGTCTTCAAGTATTTCTCTGCAGAAGATCAAACACTGACATTAGTGACATGTAGAGGAAACATCCAGTGGGGTTATAAGAGAGCAAATACATAAGGGCTGGGGAAATTGCTCCTGAGTGAATAATCCTAGACACAGACTCAAAGTTGTGTCTGGTATAATTAGGATTTCATAAAAGATCTCACTAAATACCAGTTTTTCATGCTTGTTGGGTACAATTTAAATTAAAAGAATCGCAAGTTTGTGAAATAAAAAGGCAGCTAGCCAAGCCTCATTTATATAACGGGCAGCATTTGTGAGAGAAAAAAAAACTGGAACTTGTTATTCTTGGAGTGGTGCACATTTGTTTGTTGTTCTAAAAATTGTTTATTTGTGCAAGTTAAGCACGAGTTAATATGAACTTTTGTCTTAGGTTTGCTTTTGTGTTTTCACATTACTTCAATTAGTTGATAAAACTTCTAATAATCTTTACACTTCACTCAGCTTCCATGTTATCATTTTCCACAACGCCTTATCAGCGCACTGGAGTAGGTCCTGAATATAGCTCTTCTGCGAACCCCTAAAAAACACACCAAATTGAATTTATTGATACATTGATGTTTCAAGAAATACAACATAATATATTCACCTCTTGTCATGACTCCTTCTTTACCTGATAAAAGAAATGATGGATTAGACGAGGACAGATGATCACTTTCCCTTAAATGAAACATTGAGATTTCCCAAATGAACTTACCTTCGACCCCAACCACCGTGTCTTCATAGTGGTTGGTTTGTGTCCCGTTGAAGAAGCTGACCCTGCAGGTGAACTTCCTGCCCGGTGTGAACCAGTCTGAGGCCGAGACCCTCAGCCTGCTGCTGATCCTGTAGGTCTTGTCTTCCCGCAGGGCGCTGCTGTCGGTGGCCACCCCGCTGCTTTCGGCCCCCCCCTGCCACCTGCCAGGACACACTGACGTGGTCCGGGTAGAATCCGCTGGCCACACACACCAGGGTCTTCCTCCTCTTATGGTCTTTCTGGTTCATGCACTCCTTTGTTGACGGAGGGAACACTTTGACTGTCGGTTTAGTGACAGCATGGTCTGGTTCTGCAGAGACAAAGGACCGACATCATTCTGTATTCATGGAGCCGACTGTTACAGGACTCAGCCTGTGTTTATGCGTCTTCTTAATTATTTGAATACATGCACCAAACACCAGGGCAAATTCCTTATAAGTGAAAACAAATTAGCATTAAACCTTATTCTGATTGACTAAATGTTAAGGTGTCAGAACCCTGGAGGTCTGCAGTGAGACACAAACATTTGTTCATCTAAAAACAACGTGGTTTCTGAGGGTTTTTCTACACAGATCTCCAGTTTCAGCTTTTGCATAACGTTTTAGTAAACAGTTAGTATGCAGTATTGCTCATGTGGACCATAATCACCATTTAGCTCAGTGTTTTTTGTACTAAAAGTTGTTACCCCCCCCCTCACTTCTTCACTAATACAAGTAAAGACGTTTAGTTTTGCAATTGAGAAAATGTTGCCTGTTGTAAATACTTTTAGTGCAAATGCATTTAACAGAACGAACACATGACAAAGCCTGGCGTTAGGACCAAAGGCTTACCGTACGACTTCGAGATATCATTTTGACAACACACCTACTCTGCATTCACTCAACAAAAATAATATTTTCTTTTTTTGCAGATTTAGGTTGAATGAAGCTCAGGAACAAACATTAATGCATATTCTTTAAAAATAATAGTCTTACCGAGCACTGTGAGTTTGGTGCCTCTGCCAAAGTAAGCAGGGTCGTAGTTGTTCACACAAAACAAGGCTTCAGGAAAACTGCTGCGCTGAAGCCTCGCTACTGTCTGTGCTGTTTTTACTTCAACTGTGTGCACAAACTCTCAAAGAAAAGCTTTGCCAAATGAAATCTAAACATTATCAACTGCTGATTTAAACTACTCAGGAGAATAAGATTAAAAAACTACTAAAACAAAGTTGTCCTGTTATATATTTTCATATATTACATCAATTTATTTGGCATCATTTTTCCTGTTTTAAGACGGTGAGTTTAGTTGCCGCTCCAGAGAAAGCTCCTGACTGAACTCAGAGCTGATCAGAAGTCGCCGTGAGAGAAATAATCTGGAGCTCAGCCAGAAGATTTACTGATGTGCTGTTTTACTGCTAAACAAAGACGAGGCTAGTTTTTTACAGCACAAACTAACTATTAACACGGTTTTAACGTACAGTTTTTTTCACAACTATCAAATGAAATTCCTACTTAACATATTTGTATCATTGCCTATTATTTTAAAGTCAAATTAAAGTGCTCTGAGAGACGTTTCTCCTGCAGCGTTTCTTACCTAAAACAGTGAGTTTAGTCCCAGCTCCAAAGTAAGCCTCGGAGTATGAGCACAGAGACTTTCCACTGTCACAAAAACTCTCCCTGGTGTCTCTCTGTCTCACTCCCTTTCACTTGTTTCTCTGACATGTGAACACTTTGACTTTAACATACTCTACTGTGCTAAAGAGAAAACATTCCTAAATTAACTTTCACCCCTAAAACATCAACAAACTTGCTTTAGGAATAATTACGAATCTATCGAACAAAATGTAATAAACTTTTAACATTTTCTTACCTAAGACTGTTAGCTTAGTTCCTCCACCAAAGTAAGCCTCTGAGCTCTGGGTCACAGTGAACCTGATCAGTGTCTAAAACTGCTCCACATGCTGCTCTACTCAAATATAGTATTATTATCTAGTATTATATCTAGTATTATTATCTATTATTATTTATAATAAATGCACCTTTCTTGTAATCTAAAAACCAACAGCTCCTGCCTCACACGCTGTCGTTTTTTACACAATGTATGCAATTCAAAACGGTCTCTCAGTGACCAACCTGTCAGGCTTTTGAATGTTTTACTAAGTTAATGTTTGAAAGAAACGTAGAGCTTTTACTCACCGAGAACAGTCAGTTTAGTTCCCTGCCCGAAATAAGCCTCGTACTGACACAGCGTTTGAGCTCGAGAACAAAAAGCTCTGAGCAACTTAAACTTTAAAACATTTAAAGATTTCCAGTACAGTATGATTATTAAATTACCACACCATGAACAGCACTTTGAACATTTCCCATCTCATCATAGACTTTATATACAATATATATATTATGTCTTACCTAAAACAGTTAGCTTAGTTCCTCCACCGAAGTAAGCTTCACTAAAACCAGTGTCACAGTGAACCTGATCCGTGTCTAAAACTGCAGAACACTCTGCTTTTAGATGAAGTTACCTTTAAAACTACTTTACCGTGTTAACATTGTTATTTCTTAATTTTTTTTACTGCATTGCACTCAAGTTTTTAATTGTAACACACAACTTATGAACGTAGAGCTCTTACTCACCGAGGACAGTCAGTTTAGTTCCCTGTCCGAAATAGGCTTCGTAATTGGCACAGAGCTGAAGCTTGATATCAAAAAGCTCTGAGCACAACTCGGACTATAAAAACCCAAATACTTTGCTTAATGCACCGAGTTATTTACAAAACTTTACTAAATACATGTGAGCCATCCTTACCCAAAACAGTCAGTTTGGTTCCTTTTCCAAAGTAAGCCTCGCTTGCTGTGTCACAGTGCAGAAACACTGAGCATCAAACTATTTCTCTATCAGAATTATCTTTGGAAAGTTTTTACTGATACTTCCGTTCATAATGGAACTTTAAAGCACTATAAGATTAATCAAAACGCAGTAATAAAGTTAAATATTTACCTAAAACTGTCAGTTTGGTTCCTTTTCCAAAGTAGGCCTCGTTTCCCAAGTCACAGTGCAGAAATACTGAGCATGAAACTCTCAAGTATTTCTCTAGAACTATCTTTACTGATAACTCTGTTTGAAATAATATTTTAAGGAAATGTGACATTTACCAAAACATAGTGTTAGTGAAATATTTACCTAAAACTGTGAGTCTGGTTCCTTGTCCAAAGTAAGCAGGTTGAGTGTTGCTCACAGTGTTCTCCCTTCAGGTCAATATATAGACTCTTTCACAACAACAGTTTTTTCCTTCATCCTCATGCACACGTATACTTTGTAAAGTTTGTAGCATGACACTGAAGCAGGGAGAGAAGCTACTTACCTAAAACAGTGACTTTCGTTCCCTTTCCAAAGTAAGCTTCAGCTCCAGAGTCACACTGAGAGTCTCCTCTACCAAAAAGTCTCCAAACTCTCCAGAATCAGCATGTTGAGACTCAGAGTGATAATCCAGAGGAGGAGGAAGGCAGACATGCAGGACAGGATTCATAATGTCATAAAGTTCAAGGTTTCTGTCGAGACGAGAAAGAGAGGCATCCAAATGCTTCACATATAAATAATAAGATAATTATTATATAAAACTGTCCACATGAATTGTCTTTGTACTGCCAAAGTGTGCAGTGAGTTTGAACCCTTGATATCCGTCCTGTCCCCCCCCCCCCCCCCCCACAGGGAGCCTGCAGCAGGAACACGGGCTGTTAATGGAGGAGGTTTTTGTACAGCGGCTCTATAGGATTGTATCACCGTGGCCCCCTGTCCCCACGGTGAAAAAGCATCAGACAAAAACCTGAAGTCTCTCTGCTTCTCTCCCCCCACCCTCCCCCCAGCGCCTCCATATCTCAGCCTCCATCTCTCTGTGTGGTGCGAGTGTGTGTGTGTGTGTGTGTGTGTGTGTGTGTTTGTCTACTGCTGCTATTTCTGTGACAGCTAAGAAAAGAAGAAGGAGGAAGGAGAAGGGAGAGAGGTGTTTGTGTTCAGAGGGAGGGACATCTCTGCTGCCCACCTCTTCATCCTGAAGCGTCAGAGACACGTCACTGAGACACACACACAGATGTGATGTCACTGAGATAAACACATTCACCTATAATGTGAAATATTTCGCTTGTTTTGATGAATTCATAGATAATTGTTATATAAACCAGCTGTATGTGACATCTTAGCATCTTTAAGATCATAATGTTTTGCTTTTTCATCTCTGCTCTCAGCGGGGCGGTAAAAAAAACCTGGATAAATGCAAAGTGTGCGACTAGCTCTTAAAAGTGTAGCTGAACAAACGGATCGTTTCCGTGGATGAAACCGAAACAGAAAAGTGAATATTAAATAATCTTTTATTTTGCAAATGAATGCAAATGTTGCTCCGTCTGTCGCAGCTGGATGTGTAAACGTGTGTTCTGCCCCCCAGTGGTCAAAACATCTGTCAACATCTGCAAGATTACCAAGTTAAGTATAAGTTGTATGAGCTGTATAATATTATGATTTGACACAACATTTATTTTGTAATGGAAATATATAATTTATTGAATACCTTTCTAACAATATTGTGACCATGCATCATTAACCAAAATGTGTTTATAAAATCACAACACTAAACATCATTGTACACTCTATTATTCTTATGAAATCAAATCAAAAATTCTATTAATATGTAACAAATATATTCCATTTCAGAGCAGAAGAAACAGCCTTCAAGGGTCAACTCTGCACATCAATTGATTGGTCAGCCGGCTGTCCGGTTATCACCACCACCTCCTGGTGACGGCCACATGGTCTGAGGGGTCGTGGGCGGCCCCATGGTCTGAGGGGTCGTGGGCGGCATGGTTATAGGGGCTGTAGATCTCACTTAAAAGAATAAAAAAGAGATAAAAAAGCTGCTTCATATCACCAAGTAGAATACACTTATATTATATAATTACATACATAATTCATGCATACATTGTTTAACCTTTTATCACCCACTGCACAGTTTGCTGGACATTAGCACTAAACAGAACTGCTTGTACACTGAAGTGTTACATATGAACCTGTAATATATGTACCAATAAACTGTATTATAAGACACGTGATCAAACGTTTGTAATTTTTTTAAAGTAGTCCAGTTTGTGCAAACACTTCAATGCAGTCAAGCATTCAATGAAAATATTTATGTCCACATTTCAAAGGGATTAATGATCGTCATATTTGAACAATTTGGTGAATATACCCCAAAAGCCAAAAAGATTACTCTGTGGACTAAATCATTACATTAATACAGTGTAAAATGTACAATAATACAGTCATCATATGTCTTGTTCCTCTGGGGATACATTCACTTAATCTTAAAAGAATGTTATATATAACAGAGAAAAAAGTTCAGACTTACGGTTGTTGTTCATATTGTAAATCAGCCCTCCAAGTAGCATAATACACAGCAACACAAGACCCACTGTAGTAATCCTGAGGAAAACTAGTCAGAGGAAAATAAAATGTTATTATAATTGACCAGTATGATAGTGTTCCTGTTCATGAAATTTTGTATTTATATTAATTGAAGTATACCTTACCTAATTGAGATACCCTTAATCCTCCATTCATTGGAGGGCGTCTGATAGTGATGTATCTGTCGGTAAGAGGAATGGAAGGTGGAGCAGTGGTCGGGCTTCTGGTGTTTTGATGCGGTTTGACAATTACAGGTTTCTCTTTTTTCAACTCTTCTCTCTTCTGTCCTCTTGAATCTGGGCCTGAGTCATGCTGGCTTGAATCCTCTTTTCCGTTAAAACCAACAACAGGTGTTTCTCCATTTTCATAAATGTCTAGTTCCAACCATTCATCTGCATCCATTGTCATGTATTCATCGAAAGCGGTGTCTGCTGTTTCAGGCCCCTCGTTTGTTAGTTGCATCTCCATCTAATGTTGTAGTATGTATGCACAGAAGACCTCACAGAACAGATAGCTGTGGATATACTAACACATTTTGAGACCAATTTGAATGAGATTCATTGGAAAGAATGACACAGAACTGTCACCTGCCTAAAGAAAACTCTTCCTCTTTCCACCCTTATCTTATGACCATGATTTACATTTGTAATAGACCCGATCACCAGGGGAGAAAGGGAAAATGCATGATTCAACTTTTTGGCAATTATTTTGGGTAAATAGGAGGCTTGTTTATAATCTGAAATAGTTGGATAAATACAAATATTAATAGATGATTAAAAACACTTTAAAAACCATACACACTTGCACAATATAGGTTGTACATGCTACACATTGATAATATTAGCTGGAAAATATGTAATGAAAGAAAAAGAAAATACATTGGAACAGCCATAAAGGCATGGAGATGATTTGCCTTCAATTTGTATAAAGAAAATATGTCAGCATGGTCGATCTAGGTGTTGATAAGAAGCAGGGCCGTCCCTCCCTACAGGCCGATCATGCAGACTGCGTGGGGCCTCACCTTGCGGAGGGGGCCTCATCTTGCAGAGGGTGCCTCAACTGAGCCGAAAATGCGGCGCACCTATGCGCTTATGCCGCGCAATTAGTGTGGCGCTCGCGACACAGAGGGCCTCATCATATAATTTTGCCTCATGTTGGCCAGGGACAGCCCTGATAAGATATAGATTAGGTTTCATAAGTTAAAATATCCTTGTAGTTACTGTAATGATTGTATGTAAATGAGACCTACAGTATTCACATGACATGGCTATCTTTATAGTCGGGTTGTTACCAGAGGTGGGAGAAGTACTTATATATTGTACTTGAGTAAAAGTAGAAGTACTCAGATCTTGTACTTGAGTAGAAGTAGAAGTACTCAGATCTTGTACTTGAGTAGAAGTGCTCAGATCTTGTACTTGAGTAAAAGTAGAAGTAATCAGATCTTGTACTTGAGTAGAAGTAGAAGTACTCAGATCTTGTACTTGAGTGAAAGTAGAAGTACTCAGATCTTGTACTTGAGTAGAAGTACTCAGATCTTGTACTTGAGTAAAAGTAGAAGTAATCAGATCTTGTACTTGAGTTAAAGTAGAAGTACTCAGATCTTGTACTTGAGTGAAAGTAGAAGTACTCAGATCTTGTACTTGAGTAAAAGTAGAAGTACTCAGATCTTGTACTTGAGTAAAAGTAGAAGTACTCAGATCTTGTACTTGAGTAAAAGTAGAAGTACTCAGATCTTGTACTTGAGTAAAAGGACTCAGATCTTGTACTTGAGTAAAAGTAGAAGTAATCAGAGTGTAGGAATACTCTGTTACAGTAAAAGTCCTGCATTCAAAATGTTACTTAAGTAAAAGTAGAAAAGTATCTCTGTCCTTTTATTAATATCTTTCATTTTCAAGAAAGAAATCCGCAGGTTTTTCTATATTATCGCCCTGAGGGGAGCAGGGAGGAGGTTATGTTTTTAATTTTTAATTCATACATGACATTCACAGTTTTTAACTTTAATATAAATACCACCATATTCAGACCACTTCATAAATGTGTTGCTCAGTTTAAAAACATTTAAAAGTCATTACAGCCCAGATAAACTACCCGGTCTCAGTGTAGTCCCACACGCACCCTGCAGAGGTCAGTGTGTGCAAACCTCTGGAACCTCTCTCATCTTTCCCTCCTGGCTGCACACACACTTAAACCTTATACTAAAGTGCAGCCCTGAGCCCAGAGGGACTCAGAGGAGACTCTGTACAGAGCACTCATGTTGTAGGAAGGTTCAAATCCTCCAGTATTAACACCTGCTGACTTATCAAACACCATCAGCTCTGTGGCTTTGTGGACTTCCTGTTCATTTAATAATCTACTCACTTTTTCATCTTTTTTATAGGTTTTGGAGGAAATTGCTGACATCTCTGCGCATGTGTCCTCCTTTTTAAGGACATGCATGGACACTGACAAAGAACAGGCATTAGTTAAAAACTTCATTAGAGCTAAAATAGAATAGAGACCTTTGTTGTCCAATAATGTGTGTACATTTGGCTTTGGCTTCACAGATATACATACACGGTAACACATCCTCTGCCATGCGTTAGACTAAAGATGACACTTTCTACATAAATGAAAGCCAACCATTGTACCATCGTGTGTCTTACCCTACTTTCAGATCTGAATAATGTCTTCATTTTCTTTGGTACCATTTCAGTACAAAACCAGATAAGCCCAGCTCCAGCTGCAGCGGCCTGTTATCTGTACGGGTTTCTGCTCTGAGTGCAGCACTGTGTTTGGCAGC